GTGTGTGTGTGTGCAGTGTAAGCCACAGGCGTTCGGTTGCTCGCTTGCTTCGCTCTCTCTGCAGCTGTGTGTGATTGTTCCCCCCCCACAACAAAACTTCCTTCGTGTTGCTAAGGCATTCCTTATCCCGAAGGAGGGGGGGACAGAGAGAAGAAAAAACCGGAGTTGTCCACCTGGGACATCTCTTCCCTGCCCATGATCAGTCAGCTGGTGCCGCTCCGGCGGCTGCCTGAACGATTTGCAATAGACCACGATTGGTCGAGATCACGAGGGCATGGAGCATGCCACTATCATCACGTGGCAGCTGCGGGTTTCCCGACGCAGCCCTCATCCGCCGACTGCGACAGGCGTACGCGCGACTGTGCCAGCTGCACGTACACCTCAAGGGCAAGGGCATGATCACCATATCTGGTAGAGAACCCGTTGCGCAAGACCATAAGCTACAGTGGCTGCATCAGCAAGGACAGGAGGAGGAGGAGGAGGAGGACTAAAGATGGATCAATAGAGATATTGCTTCTTCTTCACATGCGAAGACGGGCCATCCGTTTTCTCCCCGCCGTCGACCCGCCGCGTAAACCTACCGTAGTCATAACCCGACGCTCCCGACGGGCACCGCTACAAACACCCAACTTGATAACAACACGGTTAGCAATTTGAAGTGAAGACGTCTTCACCCCCCCCGGGGGGCCCCAGCGACACTGCCCACCTCCCCGCTCACACACCACTCTCCCGCGACAGCACAGCAGCACTTCCCTCTCGAATCCCCTCCTACCGGTACACCTGAGAGAGCGTGCGCCTCCCCTTTCCCAACGTAGAGTTCGCATGCGAGTCCGTGCGCGCGCTCGGTGGCAGGCGCGCCAAGGGCTGCGCCGACGTGGCGCCTGATTGACACTCATTCACACTCGTGCCCTCGCATCATCATCGATCTACGCACGGTCTGGAGTCCTTTCACACGTAGCCGCGTTGGCAAAACAGAAATCACGGACCCGCGTTGGCAAAACCCAAATCACGGAGCGTGTCGGCGAGAAAAAAACTCGTCTTCAGCCCCTCTGCAAGCGGCTGTGATCTGCTCTGCCCTCCCGAGGATGTACGGCTTTCCTGGCCTTCTGGCGGTCCTCTCATTGGCCGGTTCTTTTTCAGCCACTCCGAGGGTCGTCCCACAACCGACGATAGCTCTACGTATTGCTATTACGTGCATTGAAGAAAGTCCTCCCCGAGTGTTTGAAAATGGCCAAATGTTAAAAAGTGACTCCAAGGGCGTAAAGGTGCAAACGAGCACCTTTTTTGTCAAAGCTACTTTTTCTTTCTTTGGACCTTCGTTTCCTTGTGCAGCTCACCGTCCTTCTACCCGCTTGGAACATGCTCCAGCCGTAATAACTTCCCCGTACGGCTTTCTCGAATGAAAGAGGTATTTCTTGTGAAACGGCAGTAGTGAGGCCATATGTTTCTTCTCTCCCCCTAAATCTTCATGGCCGTATGGCCATTTTCCCCTAAATTTGGAAGGCGTCAGTCCCGTTTCGATTCCTATTCCAAAAGAAAGTCAAACAGTTAGCAGTTCAGTTCAGATACCCTTCTCCATTATGGAGAAAGAGAATAAAAAAGAAAAAAAAGAAAAAAAAGAAAAAAGAAAAAAAGAAAAAGGCCAAGTCACAGCATTCACGATATGAGCAAAACTATGCCGGCGAGCTGAAGAGCAGGTGCCCGTTGTCAGCTTCCCTGCGTAGCTGAAGATCAGTTTTTCAGCGAGTGGGGATGAATTTGGGCGCGGCGTGGCCGGGAGCGCTGCGCCCACCCGCGCAGTTGAAACGAATGGCACTGGGCAGCAACAGGCGGTGGAGTGGCGCGAAGTCATGCGGTGCTGGGCAGCAACAAGCGGTGGAGCGGCGCGATGTCGGAGGAGAGGGTTTGGGGTGGTGTGAGGTGGAGGATGAGAGGCTTGGAGTGATGGCTATGGGGTGGATTGGTGATGTGGGTGGTGCAGCGTGCGGACAGGTTGGGGTTGTTACGAGGAGGCTGCTGGTGAAGGGCTGCGATGGGTATGGTTGCCAGCATCATCATGCATCGAACTCTTACTCGAGCCACGGAATACGGAATGCCATGCGTCGAACGCGAAGGTGAGGGTGATGGATCAGTTTGGACAGGTAAGTGTTTTCACGATGGTAGTACTTCATGGATCTTCTTAGTTTGGTTGGTATGTGTTGGGGATTTGCTTGGTGCCGCGACCTGCCTGCGTCACAGGCTGACGGGGTTGAGATTGGGGAGGGGCTGTTGCACCACACGTCTGGTGAACGGCTCCGATGAGGTCTCCCTGCTACGTGATAGATGCCTCGTGCGCCCCGTTTTAAAGGGTGAGGACGTCGAGGGGGCACGAGGGCGATGGTTCCCGTGAGGTAGGGGTGACGTCACATACGAGTGAAGGGGGAAGGGAGGGGAGGGGAGGAGAGGATTCATGGAGGAACCTTTCTTGGCGTCTTGGTGTTTTCGTAGCATGGCATACTCACTTTTGACACTCATGATTACGGATGCGTTGATTCCTGGCTTTCGTTACAAATGTTTTCGAGATTGATCTTTTAATCCCATTAATTCAAAAAGGATAAGTATGCAACCCTTGATGCTCATCAAATGATGATGATCCAATTAGGTTTTTTGAATTGTGTTTTCTCTATTCTTTTAATGATGATGATCTGATTCAGTATTTTTTGTATGGTTTCTGGAAAATAATTTCTTAAACTTTTTTGTGCCGTATATCCTTGCTAAGAGTTTCTCAAACCGTGGTTTGGGAATCAGATTCGAAAATCCGTTATGGATATCTAAGCCTAAATTTCGTATAATTTCTCGTAATTTTTGTCACTCAGTAGTCTTCCTTATCATTGATCTTATGGTCTTGTTTTTTTTCTTGACTTCCGATACAAACGCGTTTCTGATCGCCGATGCCTAAAAGTGAGCTTCTGTTGTTTTTCAAACCCTATGATTACTAATCATAATACCGAGCAGTAAATTTTGATTCAGATTGGTTTGTTGATTCCAACTTCCTGGTCTTGAGGGGTGTAATTGTGGCTCGCTGTGTATACCAGTGGTTTCTTCCTTGAGGGTTGGAGCCTCCCCCCGTGAGGGTTTCACAAGGTGGGAGGTGTTATTCTTGGAGGGGGGAGGCG